AGGTCATAAAAAATAGCGAACAGAGCCACTACAGGGGCTAAAAATAGCGGGAAAAAGCGGGCAAGGCCATTAGAAGGTCATAAAAAACAGCGGGCAATGCCACTACAAGGTCATATTGGCCTCGTTAGGACCTTGTAGGGTCCTTGCCCGCAATTTTTATGATCTTGTAGCGGCCTTTGCCCGCTATTTTTAGACCTTGTAGTGGCCCTGCCCGCTCTGTCTCAAGGCCCCTACAAGGTCATAAACATAGCGGGCAAGGCCATTAGAAGGTCATAAAAATAGCGGGCAAAGCCGCCACAAGGCCATTGTTGGGACCTTGCCCGCTATGTTTGTGGCCTTGTAGTGGCCTTGCTCGCAATTTTATTGTTAGGCCTCAATCGCGGCCTTCTGCCTGCAGCCAGCAGACACCTCTTGACCGGAGCGTTTTCTCTGCTTGCCAAAGTCCTCAAACGCAAAACGTCCAGACAGCAGCCGCAGCTGCTCTGCCTGGCAGTGCCTAGTTTGGCACAGCCAGACCAACTTTCTTCAAAAAGTTACTTCGTACCCAACCTGACCTCTTCGGGCGGGAGGGCGGGAAAGCAGTCGGCCATCCCCTCCGGCTGTCGACACGCAAGCAAAATGCGGGAAAAAAGAGACCCAAGGACCCAAACCCTTTGCCGGACTTTCCATGAAAAACGGATGAGAACCTCTGCAGCTCCCAATTCCTGAACATAGATCTCAAGCATGTGGTACGAACGCCACCTGCCTCTCCATCGTAAGCGAACCAGGTTTTCATCCCACAGTCTAAACAAGTAGGTTGCCCCACCAGGCCGCAAAGACGAAGGCAAGAAGAAACGAGCGCCCAGGACCTCAAACTGCAGCAAGTCAAAGCGTCGTTTGAAGGCCGCCCAAGAACCATTCCAGAGCCGGCGCCACAAGGGCAGCGAGCGGTGTCGACCCACCACGCCAACCCCGGCTCGTCCACTCGCACATGCTGGTGCCGCGCTCCGCGGTGACGAGTCTTTGGGGACCCCACTCGGAGAAACAAGAAGTCGCCGCTGACGTGGTCGCTTGGTAACGATACATCCTGTCGCCGCAGCCCTATAGCCTCTGAAGGTCTCAATAAGCCAAAAAAGCCAAGGGCCAGCAGGACCGCAAGTCGAGGCCAGTTCCAAGCCAACGCAGTACAAACAAGAGCACGGAGAGCTTGCACCGGAATGGGTGGGTGGTGCTGTACCGGCTCCAAACCCTCCCAAGTTCTGAGGAGGCTCCAAGGCCCTGCAAGCGAGGATCTCAGCCATCCAAACTGTTGAGTGACAGCATTGATGGTTTCCGCAGCTGCGCGACGACTCTGCTTGTTTACGAACATATACACCATATATTCCTCGAGCCATTCGGACAAAGTATCGATGTGACATCTCGCAAGGTCCTCGAGGGGCACCCCCGGAATCTCCTGAGCCAGCCAGTCTTGCAGCCGCTGCAGCAGATCTCTGCGGATCTTGTGAGTCTTGTCCGTGATCCGGCCTCTCTCCAAAAGAGCCCTGTCCCGCACATGTGTCACAGTTCGGGGCATCAAAAGACGCTTTCAACAGTAAGGCTCCTATAAAGAGGCACCAACGATTGATGGCTCGAGGGAGGCCCTCCAACGCATCCAAGCGGTCAGAGGCCAAGCCTGCACCCCTGCTCAAGGCCCAGAACCATGTTGGACAAGGGATTCGGGGACCTAAAACACGCGTGTAACGACTAGGGGCATCAGCTCGAATGGACCAAGTCGGCATATGGAGGCCGGCGACGTAAAGATTCTTACCCAGGACATAAGGGGCTTCAGACCTCATGACCCCGTTAAGGACTTCAGAGGGACTGCGACCTTTGCCCAAAGCCCCCAAAGTTGACCCGACTATCCTGGGCGATGACAACTCGGCGATCTCTGGGGAGACGTTTCATCAAGGACCTACGGGCCTTAGCTTCTTGGATATTGATGTGCTTGAGACTCTTGAACTTGTATTGCATAACAGTGTGCCAGGGCAAAGACTCGGACAACTGCACAGCCCACAACGAAGAACCTGACGACCCTTTCGAATCCTTTCAAGACGACCCTGCCTAGTCACGCAACTTTCAGCCCAACCTCTCGGAAGACACACTTTTTCAACTCCAACCGTGTCCGAAGCCGAACTGACATCCGTAGTGACAACTCCTCGCAAACCACAATCCTCACTCCAAACAGTCTGAACAAGCTTAACAACCTCACGACAAAACTTGGGGCAATGCTCACCAGCTTTAATCGTAAGAGCTCCTTTCAGGGGAGGATGTCTGCTGCGATGATGGCACCTAAGTCCAAGTTTTTGCAACGTCGCGACATTCACCAGCAGTTGAGTCGTTTTCTTAAACCGCGCTCCAAACCTACACCAGTCCAGAAGAACCTCAAAGGCCCCACGTCTCCTAAGGGTCTCCCAAGGTTCAAGGGCCCTCATGTATCCATAAGCAGGCTGCTCCCCCGCAAAGCCATTCCCAGCTTCAGCTTGTCCTAACGCTAAGAGCAAGGATTGAGCAGCATCAAGATTACCCTTACAGGTGTCCTGGTCTAACAAATTGAACCCCCAAGGATTCTCAAGGCTACGCAGGCGGGGAGCCTGGGCAAGGGAAAAAGTGGTGCAGGGCGGAGGCCACCAAAGAAACCTGATTCTACCTCCCCGAATCAAACTAAGAATACTCCAAAACAAATTTCCGTCACGCAAATCCCAACTACCCTGAATCGAGAGCGGAGGAAGAACCCTGAATCCCTGCTTGGCCCACGCAGCTGTCATGTTGCCTGTTCCTGCATACACTTCCAGGAAGTCAAAAGGTCCGTCTGCGATCTGTGCCGGCATCCGTGAGTTCTTACCACTCATCAGATTAACCTTTCGCAGGTAGCCTTCTGCTAACAAGGCAATGCGGTTTGGGGAGTCTCTCCATCCCCCTCACTATCCGAGGTCTCTCCCTCAGATTCACGCAAAAAGCCTTCAACCTCCTCCTCATCGAAGCCACTCCCTTTGAGAGATGCTCCCAATCGAGAAAGCAAAGGCATCCTGTACCCCTGCTTGTCCCCCCTTCGCCAAAACTCACGCAAAGCCCTAGCCCCAACCCTACTCCTGCAAACACCCGCCCCCGAAGGAGAAGCATCAACGCAGTACAAGAACTCATCAGGCATAGCTCTTAAGTCAGTTAAGCAAAGGGGTGCCAAACAAGCCAAAAGAAGTAGTTCATGGCGGGCGCTCCGGCCCAGCAGGAAAGGCTCTTCGGCCTCTCCTGGGGATTGCTGTCTATAGACTGAGTGCATGAAACAGAACAGAGGCCGTCTGAACTGTGCACTGAAGGCCCACAAGCCACACAAGCCCTCAAGGATGCGCTGGTCGATGGGCCCTGGTTGCGAAGCCCTGGCGGATAGAGCAGCCAGAGCCAGCAGTCGAGCCCTCACCGGCCCGACCAGCCCGTCCAGCTCAGACTTTGACGTTCAGTGACCGCCGCTGCCGCTTCTTTGGATGGGCCTCCAAATGGACTGCTTCGTAGGCCTGCTCCGCCGCCGCAAAAGCGATCTGATCTCGAGCAGGCTGGGCCAAAGTGGACTTCAAAGACCCCTGCCACTCCAGCAACTGCACACCTAGGTGGTCGTCAATCATGATACCTTCATAGAACCTGCTAGTGGGTGCCGGCAAAGGGTGCCTATACCGAAGAACCTCGCCCTCAGCCATACCCCCATAAGTCCTAAGCAAGTTCGTATGGGATTCTTGAGCTATGTCGACAGCTGCACGGTCTCCCATGCCAAGACCTTGGAAGCAACAGGCTAGCCTGTCACTCGAACGGATGCGTCCTTTTCGGAGCGCCTCAGCATAAGGCATAAGCAGTCAAGTGCTGCACCTCAGCCGCCCTAAAAGTCGGTCCAACAGGAGAACTACGGGCACGGTCCTCAGTAGCGCTATAGGCATGATAAAAATCCTTGACATCATCAACCGAGCTAGCACAAATGAACCGATCCTCGAGAGGCAGCTGGCATAAGAGCACGCCGTGAGGCAAGTCCTTGGAAGCTCCTACAATGTGTCTCTCTCTTTGATTTCGGCGTTTCCGGTGAAGAATTTGCCTATCGCGACCTTTGCCTTTAGCAACAGCAAACAACTCACACCGATCCAAGGGAGAGACATCTCGCGCCCCACAGATGTAGAGCCTCCCAAGCTTGTCCCATCTCTCGAACACTTTCAGGAGTTCGCTTCGTGTAGCAGTGCCTTTCGCGGGGAACGGCGGGCCTTGCTCTGACTCCGGCTTGAGGAAATCATCAGGCTTCTCATATAAATGACGGAATTCCGGAGACAGAAATGGCCGCGGATCAAAATCCTGGACTCCCTCTGGCAAACTCAGTCTCTCGGCCACTACAGGCAGAGCTTGGGTGGCCGTGAAGGCGGAAGAGCGTCCTCCGCACTGAAACTTCCTACTTGGCTCAGCGTAGGGAAAATTTTCAAATTCATTCAATTGCTCTCGCAGCTGGCGCAGTCGGCCAGACGTGGCGGGCAGGCGCATTCCGCATCCCGTGGAGTTGTTCCCGAGGCGGACTACAGACATTGCAAGGGTCTTCAAAAAATTGACCATCTCAGTTTGTTTAGTGGTCAATGAACACCCTCTTCTCCCTCGCAGAGGCCCAACCTCAACTCCTAAGGCCTCCTGACTCAAAGCACAAACCATAAGGTTAACCCAGAGTTCAACAGGCCTCCTAAGGCTCCAACGCGCCCTCTTTCTGCGGGACCTCCCTAGGCTAGGATGTATTTCCTCAACCCAGGGTTAAGGAGGGGGACATGGGAAGAGTTCGTTAACTCTACACTCGGCTTGTGAGGACATTTCAGGGCACAAAAAAGTGCTTCTGAAGTACTTGGCAAGAGGCAGAGTCGAATTCGTGAGCTCGCCGCATAACTCAGTCAGCCAGGAGAGAGTGCTAGAAGATGACGCACTGCTCTCCCCCTTCTTGTTGTACTCGAATCGGAGAAAGCGGTGAGGTCTCAAGCGCTGGCGTCTTTGGCGGTGTCCTTGCCATCGCCCTTCCCCTTGGGCGGCTTGGCCAGACCAGTCCGCTTCTTTACCAGCCATTCTTCTTCCTTCAGCTCGTTGATCAAGGCAGCCACCCAAGTGCTCTCGGCCAGTCTCGTGTAGACGTACTGTCTCCTGAGGGTCCTGAGGGCACCCACATCCTGAGTGGCCCAATGACCCCAAGGCGGCTCCTCCATGCCTGTCAACCGGCCGGCGACGGCCCATGACTCGTCGATGAGGAACTGCTCGATGGAGGCCGTCATGCGGAGCACTTGTAGTCTGGCTTGCTTCGGCTTGTTCTCCAAGAGCAGCCGGTGCACATTAAAGCCCTGGAGGCAGTAACCTGCCGTCCGGCTTTTCCCCACCGGGCAAGACTTGGCAAAGAGCAACGGGATGTTGGGGGTGAGCTCGTTCTCCTCCACTGCCTTGAGTTCTCTGCTCCATTCTTTCTTGGTACGGTTCTGGGTTGTTCCGCATCGCACCCCAAAGTCTTTCGACAGCTTCGATGCCCCGTCCCCCCTTGGAACTGGAACTCCATCCGGCCCACCCCTCTTCCTCGATGTCGCTCTCGCTGTCTGCGTCCTCCCAGGAGCTTAGGCCTGGCAGCTTTTTGCCCTTCTTCTTGGTCTTGCCCGTCGTCTTGTCCTGGAGCAGCTTTATCAGCGCCAGCTTCATCATATCGTCCACGCTGTGCTCGGCCTTGGCGTCCTGGCCCTGGAAAAGGTCCACATCGATGGCGGTTTCGGCTCGTCGGTCCGGTTCGTCCGGAGTCCTGCGAGGGGGGCGCCGCACCTGTCGCCTGGCCTCCTCCAACAGGTTGGCCATCTCCTCCTGCGGAGCCGCGGCGGCCCTTGAGCGTAAGGCGCCGGAGCGCTCCCCTACGGTTGGCTGCCTTGGAGGCGTCGCATTCTCGAGCTTGTGCACTGCAGCCTCCAGGTGACCAAATCTCTGGTTCAAGGACGCGGTGAGATTCTGCAAGTGTTCGAGAATAGCGCCATTGGACGGGTGTTCCGTCATCTCGCCGGGGTCCTCCACTGCTGTGAAGTAGTCCTCCAGCCGGGCGTTGCCTCCTTCCAACCAAGCAGCCACCTGGGTGTTGAGCTCCGCAAAGCTTGGCAGGACGGACACGTCGTCCACGAACCCCACGATCGCTCTCCGCGAGCGGGGGGACTTTTTCTCCAACTGCTTGTGGATCTCCATGCTGAACTCGACCATCAACACCTCTAAGAGCTCTTCGGAGTCCTCGGCACTTCCCTGCCTTCGGACCGTCACCATTTGGCTGGGGCCTAGCAGTCCCACTTGCCCCGTGTCCTCTGCCTCCTCCAGCTGCTCCGCATCGATGGCCTGGCTCGGAAGGGCCAAGATGATGCCAGAGGGGCATGTTCTCAAAGGGATCGCCAAGTACCATTGGCTGCCAGCGCCCACTGGCCACTTCAAAGAGAGGAGGTCGACTGCTTCGGGCTCCGCGTTGACCACCTGCAGGCTTAGGACTCCTCGCTGCGCCAGTGGCATGTTGCTTCACGCTTGAAGGATGGAACCCCTCTACAGGCCACTCCGGGTCTTCGAGGGATGCTCTGGTCCTTTCGCTGCAGGCTCCCAGGATAGCGCGACCGCTGGCCGTTGGGATCGTGGAGGATGAAGACACGGCTCCGACGCACAAGGTGCAAAGGAGCAGGGCCGCTGGACACCACCAATTGTGAATTTTTCGGCCCCTCTCTCAATAAGGCCCCACCCTCCTGACTCAGCAGCTCCGTGAGGATTGTCGGCACTTTGCTCTCACTGCTCATGCACGGTATGCCTCCAACCTACCGCGCCCAGCCCTCTGCAGGACTCTGGGCTCAGGCAGCTGACCTTCCACAAAGGCCAAAAGCAATCGGCTCACTCCCGCTCGACACTGGGCCGAGACCAGGAAGCAAACTAAAATGCCTCCGCAGCAAAAGCCCAGAGAAAATGAGATCAGGACCAACAGTATGAGCTCAGCCAAGCGAGGGGAATAGCTCACAGACCCAGCTAAGGGCAAAAGGGCTGCTACGATATCCCTGAGCATCCGAAAGAAGCTACGAACCGGTCAAGTTGAAACCCTCTACAACGGCCAAACAATCAAGACCATGACCTTGTAATGGCCTTGCCCGCAACGTCATTAACATTTATTTATACTGGTTTAGGGTTTAGGGTTTGGGGCTATTCAGGTTTATGTATGGGCCTTTTGGGGTATCTAGAGTCTAGGGTTTAGGGTTTAGGGTTTAGGGCGGCTGATGCTGAGCTTGACACATAAAGCCATGTGACAACAATATGAAATAAGATCCTCTTAAACTTACACCCGATAAGAGAGAATTGCATAAGAAATCCCGGGAACCCACCTGGAACAGTCCTAAGTCCCCTACCCCTCCCGCAAAGAAGCGGCTAATATCTTAAACCCTGAAAAAAACCTAACCCAAAGCCAGATTAGACTACACAAATTTTAAAAACCCTATGAAGGCCTATCCCGACGCCAGATCTTCACATGGGGGTTTGCGAAAATAAGGGAGCCCCAATATAGACCCCCCCCCCAAGAGTAGGATTCCCTTATCATGAGGACCCAAGAAGGTACCCCTAAACCCTAAACCCTAAACCCTAAACCCTAAACCCTAAACCCTAAACCCTAAATCCTAAACCCTAAGCCCTAAACCCCTACTTTCGGAAACTCCCACATGCCACAACCCGGCAAAAACAGTCTGACCAGCCTCCCGTCTTCGAAGTGGCGGCCGCCTTGCAAAAAGAAGGGCTTAGGGATCGATATCTCGACATACTGCGGTTTGCTTAAGACCCCCCCCCCCAAAAAAAAAAAGAAAATTAAATAAATAACAAACAGAAGAAAAAACGTGATTCTTCCTTGCAAGGGTAATATGGGAATATTGTCTTTGACTTTTGGGGTTCTAAGCACGTAGTAGAATATTGCTTCACAAATAGGAGCATGGTAAGCTGCACTGCTGCTTCTTTTACCCTGAAGCCTGACATCCCTGCACCCTTATGCAGACAAGGGAAGTCCCCAAAACACCAAGACCCCAAGCCCTAAAAACCCCATACATCTCCACCCTAAATCCTGACCGAAAGCCCTAAACCCCGAACGCCCCAACCTCTGCAAGCCGTTTGCCCAAAATGGAAAGGTCAGAAGACACCCTAAACCCTAAACCCTAAACCCTAAACCCTAAACCCTAAACCCTAAACCCTAAAGACCCCCGAAAGCCCTTGAAACCCCTGAAGCCCTAAACCCTAAACCCTAAAAACCCTCAAAGCCCCTAAAGCTACTTAAGGGAAATGGTCACGTCCCGCCTCGCTGGATGCCGCAACTTCCGAAGGCTTCCCGGGGCCATCCGACGGTGCAGCCTTGGGGTTTAGGGTTTAGAGTTTAGGGTTTAGGGTTCAGGGGATAAGGGTTTAGGGCTTAGGGCTTAGGGTTTGCGGTTCCAGGGGGCTTTCTCTCTCACTCTCACTCCCTGGTTCTCCTCTACCCCCTTGGCCGCTCCATCCCCATCCCCCCCTCCTTCCTTCTGGCCTCCTTTCGGCCTGGCCTTCCCTCCTTCCCTCCCTCCCTCCCCGCCGCCTACCTCGGGTCATTGTAAGTGAGGGCGAAGTGTTAAAAGAAGCCTGCGACCCGCAAGCCCTCACACCAAAAACCCTCGACATCCAGCACTCCGCAACCCTTTGTTCTGCGTACTTTGTGGGTTTAGGTAAACCCTAAAGCCTACCCGAAACCCAAGGCCCTGAACAAGCGGTGTCTGTCTATCTGGGTTGGGCCCCTGCCGTAGCGGTCCCATTCGCTTCTGAGACACCTGGTAGATGGCATTGCTGTTAGGGTTTAGGGTTAGGCTGTCAGATGGCATTGAGATTGAGTCGTTTAAGCTTGATGTGGGGTTTGGGGCTGTTGCAGCAGGCTTATGGTATTTCGCAAGCGGGGCGTGGGTTCCACAAAGCCCTGAACCCTAAATCCGGAACACGAGAAGATGAAGTTTATGTCCTTAGGGCCATTAGCTTGAAAGCTTCTAGCATGTTCTGGTGGATTTGGCTATTTGGTTTCAGGGTTCAAGTTTAGGGTAGCCAGGGTGTACGGTGTGAAATTTGAGGGCTCTTAGGGGTCTCGGGAGGTTGCGGCGCAGACGAACTAAGGGAGGCAACCAATGGTCTCTGGGCGTCGGACTCTGAGGGTCGAGGGTTTAGGGCGAGCTAGAATACAAATCCTGGCAAAGTACAATGCTCCTGATTCAGTATGAGAGGTCTCCTTGAACCCTAAACCCGAAACCACTGAAATGCCCTGAGCCCAAGACACTTCCAGAGCAACTCTACACCTCGATTCAGAAGAAGGACTCCCATGTATAGCTTCAGGCCTATTCCTTCACTAAGCCCAGTCCCTGAATACCCTGGCCAAACGAAAGGTTAACCTTTATGTCATGCTGGGATTGTATATACCCCATAAGGTTACAGGTTCTCTACTCAGCTACTAAGTTACCCTAAACCCTAAACCCTACACGCGAAACCCTAAACCCTAAACCCTAAACCCTAAACCCTAAACCCTAAACCCTAAACCCTAAACCCTATACCCTATACCCTATACCCTAAACCCTAAACCTCAAACGCGAAACGCGAAACGCGAAACGCGAAACCCTAAACCCTAAACCCTAAACCCTAAACCCTAAACCCTAAACCCTAAACCCTAAACCCTAAACCCTAAACCCTAAACCCTAAACCCTAAACCCTAAACCCTAAACCCTAAGGGGGTTTGAGGCTGAAGCCTGCTGAAGGCTTTCAGGGCTCGAATTACCACAACCCCCCCACCCCGAAGCTACGCAAGAATTGGGGATGGCCGGTTGCTCGAAGGGATGAAGGCTTCATCAGACACCCGGGTTAGGGTCTAGGGCTTAGGAGGGTCTGGGCCTCAGGAGGGTTTAGGGCTTAGGAAGGGTTTAGGGTTTAGGAAGGGTTTAAGGGTTTAAGGGTTTAAGGGTTGAAGGGTTGAAGGGTTTAAGGGTTTAAGGGTTTAAGGGTTTAAGGGTGTAAGGGTGTAAGGGTGTAAGGGTTTAAGGGTTTAAGGGTTTAAGGGTTGAAGGGTTGAAGGGTTGAAGGGTTGAAGGGTTGAAGGGTTGAAGGGTTGAAGGGTTGAAGGGTTGAAGGGTTGAAGGGTTGAAGGGTTTAAGGGTTTAAGGGTTTAAGGGTGAGGGGTTCCAGGGTTTCAGGGTTTCAGGGTTTCAGGGCTTCAGGGTTTCAAGGTTTCAGGGTCATAAGCCTAAACCCTAAACCCTAAACCATAAGCCCTAAACCCTAAACCCTACACCCTAAACCCTAAGCCCTAAGCCCTAAACCCTAAACCCTAAAGGTTTCCCCCAGCCAGTTGGTCAGCAAAGCCGCATGCTACGAGCCGCACCTGTCTTGCTCGGAGCAGGGGCCTGCTCCTCCTTGACCGCGGGGACCTTGTCGGCAGAGTTTAGGGTTTAGGGTTTAGGGTTTAGGGTTTAGGGTTTAGGGTTTAGGGTTTAGGGTTTAGGGTTTAGGGTTTAGGGTTTAGGGTTTAGGTGAGTTTCTCTGAATTGCTGCGTGGTGCAAGACTGTTGGCCTTAGTACGCGAACTGTAGCTCTTACTTGGCACCCGGTAGAAAATTGGAGTGCGCATGGTTTCTCAGCATAAACCTAAACCCTAAACCCTAAACCCTAAACCCTAAACCCTAAACCCTAAACCCTAAACCCAAAATTACCATAAACCCTAAACCCAAGATTTAGACGTAAACCTTAAACCCTGAACCCAAGAAGTCCTAAACCCTAAACCCTAAACCCTAAACCCTAAACCCTAAACCCTAAACCCTAAACCCTAAACCCTAAACCCTAAACCCTAAACCCTAAACCCTAAACCCTAAACCCTAAACCCTAAACCCTAAACCCGCTGGAAGGCCTAAGCCCAACCCATCCGAGGCCGGGGCCTTCGAAGGCGGCGGCCTTGAGCCAGGGCTGGTCTTAGGGCTTAGGGCTTAGGGCTTAGGGCTTAGGGCTTAGGGCTTAGGGCTTAGGGCTTAGGGCTTAGGGCTTAGGGCTTAGGGCTTAGGGCTTAGGGCTTAGGGCTTAGGGCTTAGGGCTTAGGGCTTAGGGTTAGGGTTTAGGGTAGGGTTAGGGTTTAGGGTTTAGGGTTTAGGGTTTAGGGTTTAGGGTTTAGGGTTTAGGGTTTAGGGTTTAGGGTTTAGGGTTTAGGGTTTAGGGTTTGGCTTCCAGGGTTTCTGCAGTTTGGAGTTTATAGGGTTCATAGGGTTTAGGTTTAGGGTTTAGGGTTTCAGCACTCTACAGCCCAATCCCTGAACCCGAACCACTCAAACCTTTATACCCTGAGCTCTCTTCCTCAAACCGTAGCCATGGACCATAGACATAGACCCTAACATCCTAAAAACCTAGAGCCCAAAGACCCTACAACTCTCTTCCCTGGAACATCCTCAGACCCTGAAGCTTCCCAAGCCCCCCAAAAAAAACTTGCCTGCTTTTGTCCTCCTCCGCCG